TACACCCTCGGTAAACCAGTTCGTTACACAAGAAGGTTCATAGCAAATCGGTTCTAATGTCCACAACTCTGTCTGACTAACAAACCTGTTCAACGACTCCACCAGCCTGGATTCTATGTTCAGCTGGAAAGCGCCACCTTAATTTCAACATTTTGAGTTTTTCTAAAGTAGCGAGTTGAAGATATAATAAAGGTATATCATTAACCCACATCTTAAGCTTATGCTTAAATATTAAAAGAAACCATTCAGTTAGAAATTACATTTCTTTGCCTAACCTTTTCTTCTGCTTCCAAAAAGGTGCTTGAGGGGGTTACGTTCAGCGACGGTTCCAGGGTATCTGAGATTCGTAATTGTTCAGTTCCTCCCAAAGAGATTTTTTATCAACAAAAATTGATTGGCCAACTTTGTTGGAAAGTGTAGGGAGCGAGGCGGGAGAGGCTAAGTCAATCTAACACTGTTGTTAATAATAGTTTATGTACAGTAACAGGAAAAAGTAAGGAGACTTGTAGCATCTGTCTCATATGTTAATATCCTATGCAGCAAAAAATATTGTAATAATTTTCCAATGTTAAAAAAAAAGTATATTTTCACAGAGGAATGGAAGAACTCTGATATCCTTAAAAATGGTTGTTATCGTTAAAAATAACAGCAACAGGACTGTCATGTACAAAAATGTAGAAAGATGCTTATGACTGTCAAGAACAAAAAAATATAGAGGAATACAGTTACACCCGTGATGGTCATCTGTGACTGTCATGCATAAAAATGTAGAAAGATGAAATCATACTTTGTCAAGAACAAAAATATAGAGGGATACAACCACACCCATGATGATCAATTTTCATGCATAAAAATGTAGTCATCACCACCAACCGCCAACTCTAGGGCTACTCTTTTACCAACGACCGTCGCATTATAACGCCCCCACGGCTGAAAGGGCGAGCATGTCTGGTGGGACGGGGATTCGAACCCGCGACCCGCAGATTGCGAGTCGAGCACCCTAACCACCTGGCCATGCCGGGCCTATATTAACATGAATGTTTCGTAATGTTTTGTGAACTATTGCTTGTTTGATTGTTTATGGCAAAGCTACTAAAGCTATCTGCTACCGTCTCCAATTTTAAATTGCTGACCAGATGTTATGCAACTAGCCGGCATCACTCACCTCCAACTGTTGTGACACTCTTTACCAACGACTAGTGTGATTGACCGATAGTTTACAACGTCCCAACAGGTAAAAGAGTGAACATTTTAAGTGGTCGGTTACGATCCCGCGACTCCTACATTACAAGTCGAGCGCCCTAACCAGGCTGTCCGAGCCCTGTTTTGTGAACTAAATTTATTATGTAGTGTTAACTAATAAACTCCTTTATCCAAACTTGTATCTACTGTATATGTCATATTTACTATTTAAAATATGTTTGTTCAATATCTTTTGGATTTCACAACAGCATGAATCTAAGCATCCACCAAAGTATAACGTGAAAACTTGATCTACTGGTTGCTACTTTCAACTAGTGACGCGGATCATCTGAAATATTCAAGATATGCACCAATGAATCTAACCAGGAAAAAAGATCAATACCCAAGCAAGGAGTAGTCGAAAAACTACGAGCTGTTGAAACTTAACAACCGTTTCATTGTATTGATTTGTGTAAATATTTCTGCCAACAAGTACACTTCGTGAAATCAGCGTCGTTACACAAACTCACAGATATTACGATCATTCTTAAATTATCATGACGTCTGACGTAGTCAGTTTATTTTCCTGGCGATTGTAAGTGTAATTTAATCAATCAACAAACACTAAACACAGAAGTTAAGTTCTATATCACGCAATCACTAGTACAAGTGACGCCAGGTGTGAAACACAAAAATGGTCGTACATAATGATATTGTTACACAAAATCTACAACGAGTTATTTAGAAAGGTTATTCACCACCTTACTTAGTATTCGCTTAAGGAAACAATGAGTAAGTTAAATGACCATATCTCGTATCATTGTTTTATGTTATGTGACAAGCATTATTTTCTCGTTTTACTACTTTACCCAAATTCAAAAAATAAAAATAAAACTACTCAGAATTAAATATACTGTTGCCAGATAAACTGGTCAAGAAGCCAGAACTGTCTTTAGAGGTGAATGTCCCGTTAAACTTTAATAACTGGTGCGACGAAACGGTCCTCTGAATGAGCATGAATAGCAGTACTTTGGAAATATCAAGTAATTACTGCGCATGTGCACCCCTGTATGTTGGTCTTCCTGAGGCCGGAGCTTTTAGTAACATGAAAGCAGAGTAATATAAACGCTATATTTTACTTCCAATATTTTGTTTTGTTTCGTGCAAGAATGTTAACTGCAAAATTTGAGCTAACAAAGGTATTAGGTATCATATGCTGTACAATATATTTTCAATGACTATAAAACACAACCGACCTGGAATTCCTAATAGCTTGCAATGTGAAATTTTGAATTATTAGTTTGTGTCAGGTGATTTAATCATGACCATAACAGACAAAAATACCTGTTGAAACATATCTTCCAGTAACTAACTTATATAAAAAGGTTCTGACCTATGTAATTCTTCAAGTATCATCATTATATTAATTACTATTATGGTAAACGACATCTTTCGTTAGCGAAGCATCATGATCTGTTGGTCAGTAGATTGTGTGATATTATCTCAATAAAACTGACACTAATTTGTAACAAATCTTTATTTCCTGAAAATCCACAATATACGGCCAGTAAAAAAAAAAATCATTACTAGTGTTATCTTTGTAAATGTTATTAATGGTCATTTTACTTGATGTTAATAACACCAAAAAATTAAAGGAGAATCCAGTTAAAATAGAAGCGTGCCTTGTTTCACCAGCTTCTAGCAAATTAGCTTACAGCCTGGTGACTAACTCCTAACCAGTAATATGTTAGTGTTAAAAATGCTAATGATTGTATTACTTATGCGTGTCAACTGTATATTTATATAGCTACGACAGTTTTATTGATAATACTTTTGCTTGGGAGGCTACTGTGATAATCTTTTCCAAATCCATGTAAACGAGTTTATATACTTTATATTACTGTTTTGTTTTAGTGCATAAATGTAGTTGAGTAGGGTTATGATTGTTTATCGTAATGACATATCCAACTATAATGTACCTAATACTCGTAGCTTGTTTATCGTGATGATATACCCAACTATAATTTACCTAATACTCCTAGCTTCTTTATCGTAAGAGTATTAGGTACATTATAGTTGGATATGTCAGTAGCTTCTTTATCGTGATGACATATCCAACTATAATGT